CCTTCCTTCCTTCCTTCCTTCCTTACTTACTTACTTACTTACTTACTTACTTACTTACTTACTTACTTACTTATTATTCATATTTCAAAATCAACATACAAAATCAAACAATTTCATAAGAATAGCATAAATGTTCATGTAGGTAAGGTACAGTTGATGACATCAGCACAGTTGCACAGCATAAAGTCGCACAACAGGATTCTGGCCTATGTTACACAGAACCATTAAGATGATGAATGTCATATGATTTCCTGCTGTTGTTTCAGATAGTATATACTGCCAACCAGCTGTAGAGCTTGGAAAAATTACTTTTTGGTCTCCAACTCCCAAACATTTGGAATCTGTAGTCCCAAAAGTAACTTTTCTAAGCTCTGATCAGCTGAACAAAGAATCAAAGGAAAGAAACTAATGTGTGTAGAAATTTCAGCCATCCCCATGACCAACGTGACCCAAAGAAGTAACACACAACATTATATTACCGAAAAACAAAAGTTTCTGGCAACAATCATTCTATGTAGTAGAACATATTCTCCCGCTGTACACATAAGAAATGGTAACGCAGACTTTATATGTGATTGTGTTCATGCTACAATGCCTTATAGACAATTGTGATGATCACTGTCTCTTCATTGTAAGAGAGTGATACAAGGGACTGTTAATTACATGTTTTCATGGATGGCTCATGTAAGAAGCTAAAAATTGTCTTGCTTCTGGGAAAGCTGCCTTGGCAGAATGGTGGTTTGGCATCACTCCTGAGTACAAACATATTTTTATCCCAACCCATGACTTCGCAGCCTTGGAGAAGATCTTTGGTTACGCGCTCTTGCCTGTTTTCCAAATTACAACGACCATGGCTCTCACAATAAGGAAATGTTGACATAACGCCCAAACAGGGATGTTCGCTGCCTTTGGACAGATGTGTGACTAGAATGTGTGATCAGTGCATTATGGGGATGACTATACAGCAGAGGAAAGAGTCCAAGTGCACTCAGAGGATGAAGCATCATCCTGCACAGACCCCTTGGGTTAAATCCAACATTTAAAGGGTTTAATGTGTTAAAACAAAAAGAAGTTGTGTGATGATAAACAGAGGAAAAGGAATGGAAAATATCCACCCCATAAGGAAAATGATGAGCTGATGCCAAAGGACAAGATTGACAGCGTCAGCCACCAATGAAGTCCAAGGCCTCTCCTGAATACTCCAATCATTGAATCTCTGGGTAGGGTCTCTGAGTGAATTCACAACTCTCCAAGCTGTACCAGTCGCTCTCTGCATTTATTTTAATTTAAAATATTTTTTTTAGCTGAGGGACATCTGTCAATGTAGCATATTGCCCGTCTTTGTCTTCCCCCCTTCTTTTTAAAAGGTTCATTATTTATATTATTAGGAGTGAGTGTGTGTGTTTGACTGCATTTCATGGTTAAGTCATAACTTGACTTTGAATGTCAGGATCTGACATCTCCCTCTTCTGGTTCCCTTTGGTGCGGTGGAATCAGTTTGCCCATCTAAACACAATTACTATTGGTAATCTTTCTGTGTGCTTGAGTTATCTTACTATCCACACTGCACAATTACAGCAGTTTAATATCACTTCAATTGTCATGGTTCAAAGCCTGTGGAATACTGGGATTTGTACTTTGGTGAGAGACTTAGAAATTCTCTGCTTGGGTTCAGGACATTATTTAGCAGAGCATACTTAGTTCAGGAAATGACAAATCCTAGGATTTCATAGGAAGGAGATGAGCAACACTTAAGCAGTATCACACTGCTAAAACTTTGTAATGCAGATACTGTCAAATAATGAAGATCTAGTAATAAAGGATTGGCTTGCATGTCAGTAGACTATAGAAAACAGAAATTTGAGTTTTCAACATTCAGCCCATACATAGTAAGCATGTGATATTACAGTATATTAATCAGTGCAGGCTATCTGTGGCCCATCCTCATCCATTGATTATAAGACTTACACTGTGACTTACTGATTTATGATACTGGTAGTTCATGCTTCCATGAAATTGCTCAGGGGTGTACACAAGGCAGAGGTTTGTCTCATTGTATTCTTAAAGCAGATTTATAAATTAGTTTAGGCTAATAAATTGACTGATCAAGAACCATCTGGGGAGATGTTTTGAATGCAGACTACTGCATTGTGCTCTATAGCATGTTAACCCTGTCTCGGCTGTCTATCCATGGAAGAATCCAAAACAGCAACATTGCTTATCTTTAGAATCAAATTACCTGGCAAGTTTTTCTATTCTCTAATGTTATACATTTCATTTCTCCAAAGTACATTAAGGGAACAGGTAATGACAGGGCTCTGAAGCCCTGTATCGCCTACACAGACTTCAGCTGGAATCATGTACAAGACATTGACGGCTTTGGGGTGTATAAGTACCCATTCTTATTTTGTGACATATATACAGGAAATGCCTCAGAGTTATCTCTCTTTTTAGTTCAACAGTGACTCATCCGAAGAAGGTTATGGTGGTGATAGTTCGGAAGAGGAGGAGGAAGAGGAGGAAGAAGAAGGGGTAAGCGATATACTCAACTCTGGTCAAAATAAACCAAAGAGCGTAAGAAAAATAATGAGGATTGTTTTCACAGACTGTACTCTGTGAGTGTCCTTGGTGAGGATTACTAACTGCCCACAAGTTTCCAGTCTGGTTTGCTGCCGTGTTTTTTAACTCCTGCGTCCTCTAAACAAGATGTAACCCTCAAAGACACAGGGAAAGCTTTTGGAAGCCAAAGGCTTAGAGACAGATAGGACTTTTGTCCATTTATTCAAATGCAACTACTGTGGTTCAAAAGTGGAGCATTATAAATATTTTCAGAACTTGGAAGGAACCTTATTACTTGCAATTAAGTCCTTTTTTTCCAATAACAGAGGTACAATCAAGTTATATTATGACTGTGACTTAAAGAGAAATAACTTTATTCTATGTGCAGTGCAGCTATATAACATTCTACTCTTTGGAATAATTATGGGAGTATAGCCTTAATAAATGATGGAGAAAGGAGTATACCATGGTTCAAATGCTGGCTTGTGCTTTGCCTCTTCTTGCAGCTTTTTGCTTGTTGTGGGTGTTGGGGGTAAGAAGAACAATGGGAGGAAGGTATCTTCGTATCAGAGATCCATGACTTGTAGCATTCAGATGTTTCTTAGTCCTCCAGCCCATGGAGGGTTGTGATAAACAGACACTTCCATTCTTGTCAGGTGTTTCCTATGTAAATGAAAAGGCATATTTTAGTTATTTTTGTTTTAAGCCACTGAAAAGAATTACTTTTTTCAAAATTGTAACTAATTAAATTTTAGGTGGTTGCTGTGGGTTTTTCAGGCTCTTTGGCCGTGTTCTGAAGGTTGTTCTTCCTAACGTTTCACCAGTCTCTGTGGCCAGCATCTTCAGAGGACAGTGCTCTGTGCTCTGGTGTAGTTTGCTTGGAAGTAGAGTACAGTATTTATGGCTGTGATATAGGCTTATGTCCTTTTCTGGAGATGGGTGATTAGTGTGTTTTTTAGGTGCTTTAGAAAACCTTGTTTTGGCTTTGGCCATAAACACAACTTGAAAAGAACATAGGCCAAATCAGGATTGTATAAGTCACATAATGAACTTTATAAGGTGGTGTGTGAAGAACTGTTTCAAGTCTGTGGTGCCTTTCAACAGGCTTAGAAACATAAATGTAACTAATTCCTTTTTTGAAAGTAACATTTTGGCATGATTCTTTTTTCATGAATAGTTCTTCAGCTCCACAATTATTCTCTAAAACACGGGTACATAGATGCGACTTTCCAGATGTTGCTGGACCAAAACTTCAACTAGACTTAGCCAGCATAGGTTTTGGTGCAAACTGACAATGTCTGGAAGGCTGCAAGTTGCCCATTTCTGTTTTAAAACAGCCTGATGAATGAATGTGAGCCTGCACAACTTATGAGAACAGCCCACGAACCATGAATAATGGTCTTAGCAGGTGCTTTAAGATAGTGAAAACAGCACAGCAGCCAACAGGAATGTCCAAGGATTAGTGGTGAATCTGGATTTGCGGGTACCAAATTATAGCCAGAACCCAACTGTATATTTAGACAGCCTAAGGCCAGTATTGTAACTTGGAGTGGCAAATAGTTGCTAATTAACAAGTCCTTGACTAAATTCCTTGTCACATGCCAGTTGCATGACTTGGCGTG